TATAAATAAATAAATAATCACAAAACCTTGTCTTCTGTAAATCATATATTAATAAGATTTTTTTGCATCACTTTTTTAATTAAGTATATTACCATGTAATGTGCACGTTTTACATTTTTTAATTACTGTAATGCAGTCATTTTTATAAAGAAATAACTTAAAATAATTGAAAAAAAAAATATACCAAAATTAACAACTAATACCATAATGTATAAATACATTACAATTTCTAATTATAATAAAATGTTGTAACAAAATAGTTTTTTTGCATTATAGTCATGAGAATTAGAGGTGAAATGTGCATAATTACCATGAAAATAGTCAAATTATTAGCAGGCATTACTCCAGTCTTCAGAATCACATGATCCTTCAGAAATCATTCAAATATTTCTGATTATTATCAATGTTGAAAACAGGTTTGCTGCTTCATATTTTTGTGAAAACTGTAATAATTTTTTCCCCATGATTCTTTGAATTGAAAGTTCAAAAGAACAGCTTTTATTTGAAATAGAAACATTTTGTTACATTATAAATGTCTTTTTTCTTATTTATTTTCTAAAAAAAAAATCTTACTGACCCCAAACTTTTGAACAGTGGTGTATGTATATGTTAGTACACTCCACCCACCCGTGCTCTATGGAGCAAAGCCTTATCCAGCAGTCGTTTACGAGCCACTAGCACAGGATTGGCAGGTGAAGGCGTGTGTCGTCGTCTTACATAATTAGCACCACTCATCGCTCCCGTTCCCACTCCTGAACGCGGCCCTTGGACGCCAGCGTGCTGAGTACCCTGTGCCAACGAGGTGACACTGACAATCTGGATGTCCTCATCTTTTTCCCTACCTTGTGCCACCCTTATACCTGCCGAACCCATCCTGGAAGACTGTCCTCCTCTCGCATCCGAGGACGATCCTGCCTGCTGGGAGGCAGCGACTCGAGAAGCTTCTCTGAGGAGGTTCCTCAGCTGCTGATCACTCCAGCCGGCTGGCCGCGTCTCACAGCTGGTCACGTCTCTGGCTGCTGTTTGCCCCGGCACCAGATGGCTGCTGTTCGCAGCCGCTCCGTCCTGTTTTCGAGCTCTCCCTTGAAACTCCTTCAGGAAAAGGAAGATGGCCTGTGCAGACACCTTGATGTTCTCCAGCTCCAGCACGGCTTTGATCTTACGGAAGCTCAAACCTGCTTCCCGCAGCTCCACCACCTTGCGCTTGGCAGCGTCGTCCAGTCTGCCCATGCTGGAGACCACAGTACTGACACTGAAAAGCTGGTTGGTTCAAGCAGATCCTGAAATCAAAAACAAAAGTGATGTTACCTGGAAAATTATGTTCAGAATGAAAGACTATGTCCACACAGTGTTATAAATTAAATATAAAGACTAATTAAATATAAAGACTATGTCCACACATAGAATTATAAATATATATTTGGCAAATATATATTTTTATAACATACATACATACACACACACACATACATATATATTGGTAATAAAAATATTAAATAACTGAAAACATAAAAGAGATTTTGTTTGAGATTCAGGGTTATTATAGTTAACTAAAACTGAAACTAAAATAAATACCATTAAAAACTTTTTTCTACTTGGAATAAAATAAACGTTAACTGGAATGAAATAACAAATAAATAACTTTTTATTCCAGCTAGTTGCCTTTTTTCATTTTAAATTTTGTTTCACATGATGTATCAAAATTAATGAATATAATAAATTATATTACATTATAATAAAAATAATTTATAATATTTTGATAATACTCAATGATATATATATATATATTTATATTCATTATTTTAATTTCATTATTTCATTAATTAATAAAGAATGAATTTTGTTGGATTCAGGGTTATTATAGTTAACTAGAACTAAAACTGAAGCTGACTTAAAAAACAAACATTTTTGCGACTTGAAATAACACACACACATATATATACATATATATATATATATATATATACACATATACACTCACATACATAGATTATATTTCATGCATCCAATAAATATCTTTATTAGTGCATCCAAAATAAGTTTTTGTTTATATAGGTGTGTGTACTGTGTATATTTATTATGTATATATAAATACACACACATGCATGTAATACCATTTCTATACAATACCAAAATATCAATTTGGGATTTCTTAAAATGATGAAGAAGGAGAAGATTTGTTTATATTCCCAACAGTAATACTATCACGTTCCAAACTGGTTTTTAGCTGGTCTGCCAGTCTGCCAAACACCAGGAAAACAGACCACCAGAATCAGCTAACCACTTTAGACTGGTTTAAGCTGGGTTTTTTTGTTTGTTTGATTTTTTTCTCAAAAGGGTTAGACCAGCTGCCATTTTCCAAAAACTGAAACCAGTTGAAGATTTTCAAGCAGGGGGCAAGTTCAGATTCATGTAGCGACAGTGCATAGGTATCTAGTGCACTAAAACACAATGGAAATCAAGCATCTCTCACCTACTGCGACTTTGCTCTTCTGTTATTTATGTTTAACGCGACGATCTGCTCCATTATAAAGACACATGGCAATGCTCGCATGCATATCCGTAACGTGCGTCTGATAAAGTCAAAACAACAACAGTATGTGTCGTTGTAACGCACACATCAGTGCTTTACTTTATGACCATTGCATTAACACACGCCCCGCCTCCGTGCGCATGTCGCAGGTCAACATCGTCACGCCTGCGTACTCACGCAAACGTCAATAAGACGCGACGGTAGTTACGCGCGGCGTTGAGATTGTCGCGCTTTGCTCATTCGTCATGTAAGTTTGACTCTTTATTTTGATTAATATTTATAATACGCGACCACTTTTGTGTCGTATATGAGGTTGAGTGCACGCAGAGAGATACTAGCGGCGCTTATTGTTATTAATTATCGACATTTTGCCTAATCGGGTTCACTATCGGCGGGATTAGCATTAGCTCAGCGCGTTGAATGAACCGAGTCAATAAACGTAATTTGTGGAGAACAAAATAAAGCCGTCAAATGTTAAGGATTTATATTATTTATATGTAATAAAATATCTGTTTTTATACTTTTAAGGTAGGAATTTCCATGCAGTGCATTTGCTAGTCTACACGTTTAATGTCTTTGGTGAAAAATGCGAATGTTTGATATTTACTACTTTATTTAAAACGATTGTTTTATATGCTTGGATTATTCTAAACAATCAACTTTCGATTTATATGAAGTGCACTGCATTGAAACAAAAACAGGTTGTTTGCTATCTATCTATCTATCTATCTATCTTTGAAATCATGTGCCATGGCATTCTTTGTAATAAATTAGCAAATTTTGAATTTAGTAATAATCTTTACCTTTTGCTCTAAAGGTTTGTGCACGAAAAACATACATTTATCAATGCATAAAATACAATTGACGATACAAATAAAATTCATTTTATAAAGTACAAACAATATTATAACAATTTTATACAGCTTTCGATGACTAAAATGTAAAAAAAATAGTAATAATGAACATGATCATAATAAAAATCAGCAATTACATCATTAGGAAGTCATTCTGTTTACAGTTATCTCAGATTGTTACATTTAATGGAGATTTAATTTAACTTTTAGAGAGCTTATAGTGGTTGTTATAATTATTTGCATCATATAAGAGTTTTATATACTCTCTTCACATTTTTCATTCGCTGCCCAATTTGATAAGTTTTGATGACTAAAATGTGATAATGATTAGAGAGCTTATAGTGGTTGTTATAATTATTTGCATCATATAAGAGTTTTATATACTCTCTTCACATTTTTCATTCGCTGCCCAATTTTATAAGTTTTGATGACTAAAATGTGATAATGAGTCATAATAAAGATCTAATGAACTTGCTTGGAGAGCTAATTGTGGTTAATGATAATTTTATTAATCAGTTCGATCATTGACCTTATTTCCCTCAAGCGCATGGTGTGATATAAGCATGAAAAACACATTAAAGCTGTGAACAGAGTCAAACCACAGTACATTATGAGTGTGACCGCTCACTAGTTTAGGAGACAGGCTATTTTAAATAAATGTGATGCCAGTTTTTTTGTTTTTTTTTCACGCAGGGCTCCATCACCGACCAAGCGCAGCGAGCGTTCGGAGGACAAACCCAGGGAACGAGGGAAGGAGAAGGCTGCTGGGAAAGAGGGAGCGGAGAAGGAGCGAGGCCGAGACAAGATCCGCAAGCGCCGCAGCAACTCCACCGGCAGCAGCAGCAGCAGGTCAGATGGGATGGAGTTCAGGGTTCATGTTTGTTATGAGACTTTCACCCTTTTCTAATCAAGTGTATCTCATTCGACCTCAGGTCCAGTTCCAGCTCCAGCAGCAGCTCTGGATCCAGCTCGGGCTCATCCAGCGGGTCCAGCTCTTCTGGTTCCAGTCGCTCTGGTTCGTCCAGTTCCTCCCGTTCGTCTAGTTCATCCGGGTCCTCCGGGTCTCCCAGTCTGAGCCGCCGTCGCCACGACAACCGGCGCCGCTCACGATCAAAGTAGGTTCTGGGCTTTTTGACCCGAGCAACTAGAAAACTAGAAACTGTTAACTAGAAAACCAGGCATGGCACTTACTGAACTTGTGCTTTTAACCAGGTCCAAATCACAAAAACGGGCTGATGAGAAAGAGAGGAAGAGGAGGAGCCCGAGCCCCAAACCCACCAAACTTCATCTGGGAAGACTCACCAGGAACGTAACCAAGGTATGGTTCAAGATCAGCAGTGGTGTTTCTCAATACGTCGCTTTTATTGAATATGTCACAATATTCTGTTTATTATATTATTATTATTGTTACAGGGTACTATTATTATTGTATTATAAATGTTCTCATGATCCAAAATATTTTGTAGTCAATACCAGTGAAATTTCGCAATATCACAGCAAATCGAATACACTATTAAAGATGCTTAATTTGTTAATATAAATACATTGAAAAAAATGTATGCTGCCATTTTATTTAGTATTTCTTAAGGATACTACATGCATTTTTTCCATCAACTGGTCACATGTTGCTTTCATAACATGTCTTCTTTCAGACTAGCATAAAGAAAACATCCAAATGCATTTAAGTGTTATAGTTTATTAAACTTGATCCATTTGCAACCGTAGATTTGAGCTGGAAGTCTCAATTTCAGCAGCTCTTACATACACTAAACTTTCCAGTGGGGCTGCACGATAAATCACGATTAACACTAAATCTTGCATAAATCGACCTGTCTAGTGCAATTATGATATCGCAAAGGCTGCGATTATGTTTTTATGCGCAGTTTGTCCGTGAAGCACGGCTCTTTGATCAGTAGGAAGTGCTTCTCCGTCTGAAATCACTGAGTTTGTAAACTTTTTATTTTTTAAACATTTCAAAGCATTTTTACAGTTTTTCATGTACCTAATAGTATCATACAGTATTCAATACACATTCAGAAATTAGAAAAATAAAAAAATTAATCACTATCTAAATGATGCAAAAGGTACAAAAACTGTACACTTAAATAGGACATTTATACATGAATTTTTGAAAATTAGTTATTCAAATATGTTTAGGTATTGATGTACTAGTACTTATTCATTCTTCAGTACTCATCTCTGGTGTACTGATTTTTGCTGATCTGCTTCGGCACTTGACTTAGGAACATATTCAAGAGATCTTTTCGACTTACGGCAAGATCAAGATGATTGACATGCCTCCGGACCGTTTGCACCCGAATCTGTCAAAGGGTTACGCTTATGTGGAATATGAGTCTCCAGAGGACGCCCAGAAAGCCCTGAAACACATGGATGGAGGTATGTGTGGCGGGATAAAAAAACAACAACGGAATTGAATCACTTGTTATTGTTAACTAAAACCATAAAAGATTTACTTGAAATAAAATAATAAAAAATAACTCAAAAGTATATAAAAAAAAAACGTTTTATTTTAGCTAGTTGCCAAGGCAACATATCTCATTTTCAATTTAACCTCATGCACTAAAATAACAAACTAATACTGAAATAAAAATTATTAAAAATAAAAGGGTTTCTGTGGGTCTTAAGAAGTCTTAATTTGCCACTCCACAAATTAAGGCCTTAAATGCTCTTAAACTGGAGCAGAATGTCTCAAATTCATCATGTCATGGCATTAAATGTTGCATTCACTGCAAAAAAATGAATATCTTCCTCAATACTTTTGTGTTGTTTTCCAATGCAAATATCTAAACATCCTCAAATCAAGACACATTTACTTGAGATGCAAAATTGATGATTTGAAGTCTTGTTTTGAGAAATTGAATACAATTAAATGAGTTTATCACAAGGTACAGTACAAGATTATATTCTAGTTAAGCTATTTTTTTGTGTATAAAATGAATTAAAGGTGGGGTAAGCGATTTTTCAAAAACGCTTTAGAAAACTGATTCGGGCCGACTAGCAAAACAAACTTGTAGCCAATCAGCAGTAAAGGACGTGTCCGCTCATGATGTGGAGGAGAGAGAGTTCAGTGCACAGGACGGACATTAGCGAGCCGAGCGACAGAAAGATAGAGATGGCGGATAAAAAACAAAAGAGGAAAACGTCTGCGGAACAAAAGAAGGCAAGAAGTAGGACCCGTGTAAATAGCGGATTAGCTTTGCTGGGTTGGAGAGAACTCAAAGAGCGGAAGGCCTGCGATCGGACACCGAGGTTGCTTTGTTTCTTCTCTATAGGTGAGTAACACCGTGTCTGCGCTGCAACAGCTAAAGTCTGTCTAGTACACTGGACGCGACAAAGCGACCGTTGAAAATCATTAGGAATGTGTGTCAATATGTCATGAATAGAACGCAGCAGCAGTTTTCTGTCAGGGATTTTTCGTGCCGCGCCGCATCCAGTGTAGACCATAACTGATTATAATGAGTTCTATAGTATTTTGTCGCGCCGCGCCACTCGCGTCCGGTGTAGACACAGTGTAACATTGTTTTTTTGTTTCACAGAACTAATCGTTGCCTGGGTTGCGTACGTATGTGTGGGGCGGAGCTATCAAAATAGGGGCGAGACCCTTTTGGGGTAGGGGTGTGTTTGTTTTGGTGATTTCAAATGTCAACATTGGCTATCAGAAATCGCTTACCCCACCTTTAAAAAGTAATGAAGATTGGTTGGACTTTGAAGTGTTGCTAATATAACTGATTGTTTTATCATTTGACATTTACGTTTACAAAACATATTGATATATTTCCCTTTAATTTTGTCCTTGAATTTTCTTTAATTGGTCTTAAAAAGGTCTTTAAAATGTCTTCAATGTACCTTCAGAAACCCTGTTAATAGACATTTAAAACAACACATCAAATACAAAACAAAATTACCAAAACTTTAGACATGAAAATTAAATCAGAAAAAAAAAAACTAATTAAACTAAATGCTATAATAAAACACGTTAGTATTCAATGAGTCAGTTCACTAGATGGGATTTCTAACTCTCTTTCTGTCTTCAGGTCAGATCGACGGTCAGGAAATAACAACCACGGCTGTCCTGGCCCAGAGGATACGACCTGTCCCGAGAAGACCGTCACCTCCGCGCCGAATGCCTCCTCCGCCTCCCATGTGGCGCCGTACACCGCCTCGCATGAGGAGAAGGTTGGCTTTTTTAATGTATTTTAGTCCTACTGGCATGTTGTATTTTCTGTGCAGGTCGATAGGAACCAATCTGTCTAATACTCTCGCAGGCCTAAATTTCATTTTAGTCTTCACTTCACACCTGTTTGAGAATGTCCGATCTGTCCTTTCACCTGGCATTTCTGTTTATTTGTCCTCGTGCTTCACAGAGGAGACAGACTTGCTGCCTTTTATGTGTCACATCTGGTAATTAGAGTGTGTGTGTCTGTGGTTTATCTTTGCCAGAGCTGACAGTCGTCCTTTTCCCAGGTCTCGGTCTCCGCGGCGCCGCTCACCGGTGAGAAGACGTTCCCGCTCCAGGTCTCCGGGTCGCAGGAGACATCGTTCCCGCTCCAGTTCCAACTCGTCCCGTTAGCAAGACGCTCCATTCTCACGAATGGCTTGTCTTTTTGGCCCGCTCATATTTTAGTTGAAAATGACAGATAAATAGTCCAGATGTTTTTCCTTTTCTCTAGTACCTCAGGATTGTATGTGAAGGCCCTGTCTTATAACATCGATGTTAGGGTGAGTGTGCTCTGTTTTATTGGTTTATGTGTTTGTACACTCACTGGGTTTGTGCTAGATGCTCCTTTTTACTGATTTTTTTTTTTTCTTTTTGTAATGTGCTTTTGTTTTGAGAAATACAGCTTTTTACTGGTTTATGTTTATGGGATTAAAGAGCAGACCTTTTTTATCCAAATGTTAACATTTGTTCACCGAATTGCTTTTGTTATTACATTAGCGGTTCCACAAAATTCATCTCTCAAGAACACCTTCTAATCCTGTAAAATCTGATGATCTGTAAGAGTTGAAAATGGAAAATCAATAAACCAGTTTAACAACTAAAATCCTCAGTGCTGTCATTTTCTCACTCTTATGTTGTTTCAAACCTTTATGACTTTATTCCTTAAAAACACAAATGGAGATGTTTTCCTAAATGTTCAGTTCTTTTAACCTTGTGAAGCCTGACATATGAAATGATAGCCAGAAAAAATATATTTGAACGGAATAGTTTAATAAACCTTTTCTAGAAAATATAAAAGACAATGCTTTTTGTTGTTTATCATATTTGATACATCAGGCATTTATGTCTCATAATATGATACAGGGGAATATGGAGGAAAAAAAAAAGTAAAAAAAAAAATTGTATTCAGAGGCTCAAAATAAGCAAAAATATGCAATTTGGTACAGATGCTGCTATTTATATAGCTATATATATAATTTTAATGAATTTCAAAATTTAAATATAAAATTTAATATAAATGTAATTTACACTAAAATTTTAAATAAAATCCTGATAGCATGTAATGTAAATCTTATAACAATATAGCAGATACTTACATAAAATGATTTAAATATCAGTCGTCACTCCCAATATGTCTTGGTAAGATATTTAAATGCTAGTTTTATGATCCAAGCTTTGTAGTTTTAAAACAATGCAATGCAATACAAGAAAAACTGCGAGATGAACAAATAAATGTGTATATATATGTATGTAATTTATAGCTCAGATGACTGACTCAAAAAATGTCAGCGCCCAAAGATGCAAAACTTAATGCGTCGGTCATTAAGATGAATGGGTATGCTTAAGTCTATTTAAGTTTCTACTTGGGAAAAATATGTCAGTTTCACGCTGTGAAGAGCATTCCAGTGTAATTGGTCACTGGTGAAATCATAAAATACAGTGACATTCGTGCAATAAGTGCTTAAGCTAAACAGCCAAACCTGCTCAGCTGGGCTTCTGAGCCACTTCTTTTTATTCAGTCATTAACTTGGACATTAAAACAGCATTTTATCAGCAGCTGATCCCCGGGGCTGACAAGCCCAGACGGTCGCGTTTGGAAATGAGCTTCTGTATCTGTGGCCTGCTGGAGATTGACTCGTATGTGTCAAGGGTAATGAGGCATGTTGGGTCTCAAGCTTGTGGCTGTCAGGCACAATAAACAGAAAGCGGTATTGAGAATTGTGCCTGGACAAAAAAGGGCCTTTTCAGCTGCAGGTTTAATGTGAAGTGATGGATTGATCCACATCACATTGATTTTGTCACTGAATTTGCTTGTGGACCAGTTTTAAATGTACTAATTACTTCGAGCTGCTTAATTGTCATGCCCAAGAGTACTATCGTTATTGATCAAGAAGGTGATCTAACTAGATTTATCGACGTGGTTTTTTTTACTGTGTTTAATTTACCAAAACTGTTTTGCTCATATTTCACCATAAAATCGAAATGTTTAATCCAAAAAGAAGTTTTTTTAAATTTTTTTATTGCATTGCATTGCATTGCATGTTTTACATTATTTTGTGTCCTATTGTAATTTAAGAAAAGCATTACAGTAAAAAAAGCATCCTAATTAATGTATTGGGGTAATATATATGTCAAATTAATGTATTAACAATTTAATGTAGGCTTGTTGAAAAAGTTGATACATTTTTTAATGATTAATGTGTTCAAGAAAATATACATCAGAATAACTTGCATGCTATTTTCCATAACATACAGTACATTCACTGAAAATACAGATACATTCACTTGGCCTACATAGAGAAAATTCACTGCTGATCAGCCAAACATCTTAAAGAAACTGTAAAAAGATGGCTGTATACAGGAAACAATTAAAATATGCTCCATATTTGATCACATACATTCATTCTTGTACACATATCAAAGGTTAACAGCCTCAGTGACTTATTCAAATTAAATATGTACAATATTCTCTTTTAAATATGTGCTCAAAAATAGGACGCATAAGCAGACATGATCTTTTCAAAAAGATTAAAGGATCAGGAAACATATTTCTTACCCCTTTATTTATTTTTTATTTTTTTGCATGAAGTCTGATCGTGGCTTTAAATGATCTGTCATATCAATACATTGGCAGTAATGTCCAAAGATATAAGCTTTATGATTGTTCAGAGGAGAAGAATCCTGGACATGAAAATATTTATTATTGGTTTTTGATTGGCCCTTCATCTAGTGGCCTCAAAAAGTATATGAACACAAAAGACACACTTAAAAATGTACAAATCTCTTTGCATTATACAAAATACCAAACCATCTAATGCAGTGACATTCAGACATGAGTCACGATACTTTTGCCACTCTGGATTCTATAGTTCATCATTTTTTGCAATTTACTCAATGTTGTAAAGTGAATAATCTGTGCAGACAATTTAGGTGAATAAGGACAGAGGCAAATATGGTAGAAACAAATAAATAAGAAAAAATAAATATCAGTTTGTATGATATACAGTACAGACACTTTAGCAGCACCTTGACATTCTAGTCTATAGTTTTGCTTAATTTGCATTCTGTACATATCTAACATACGATATTACACGCTTTTTGCCTATATTTCACCAACATGACAGATATCGCACAGGTTATACAGGTTAACCTTAAAGTCACCAGTAACAGGGCTCCTATACCTGAACATTCTACTGATTAAGTAAAAAAACTCAGATTAGGTAATACTTTACATTACAGGGTCCATATTAATGTAATTGATTACAATAGCAAGAACATTCAATATGCGTAATTACAGGCTGCTCCACAAAATAACTGCATTTTAAGAGCATTTTGATTACTGTTACACACACTTTATATAATTACACTTTAAAAACCCCATGAAATAAAATGCAAATGCATTGACATGTTTCCTATTAGGGCAGATTGTCTGTTTAATTTGTTTTGCATTTAATTTAAATCACAAGGCTGGCAAAACCACAATTTGCTACTTGCTATTGCTAGTATGGTGGAAATACTGATTCATCTCAGTGAGTGAATGAGTTGAACAAACAGAATCATCCTAGTTAACTCATCTGTTTGTTCAGTTCGTTCGATAAACGATTCTTTTTCGGTGCCACTTTGAGTCTTGCTCGGGTTCAAAACACCAACTTGTTCAGTGTATTCATTCAGTAGGTTCAATTGATGAAATTACGTACGATCAGGGTATGAACAGTGCTGAGTAGTAACTGATTACATGTAATCTGGATTATGTAATCAGATTCCAAAAATGTTGTACTTGTAATTATGTTGTTTCAAAATGCTCATAATCAGATTACAGTTACTTTTTATGGATTACATGATTATAAATGTATTGATTCTCCCTAATTCTATTTTTCTCTTTTAAATGTTACTTTCTAAAAAAAATGTATACTGTGTATCATATTGAATACAGTGAGTATTCACAATATAGAATGGCCATGCAAATTAATTTGCAAAAATGTTACTCAAGTTACTAAACACTGCTGATGTATAATTGACAAAAATATTTAAAATGTGTCATTGCTGTTTTCATGTTCGTTCATGTGATGCAGGGATTCCCTAACTTTTTTGTCAGTCAAACGCTTTGACCTAAAATATTTACTTGAAGTCCCCCCGAGATTTAAAAGCTAATATTTCAGTAATTTAACAACACATTTGCATGTTCTCTGATGTTGATTATAGGTCATTTTATTTCTCAATAATTATTTAACAATAATCCCAATTAAATAAACAAGTTAGGTCAAAAGTAATCTAAAATCCAAAAGTAGTCAGAATACGTTATCTAAAATGAGTAATCTAGATTACATTACTGACTACAATTTTCATCAAGTAATTTTTAATCAGTAACAGACTACAATTTGTAAGTAATCTACACTGTAAAAAATTATTGTGATTTTAACAGTAAAAGACTGTAAAAATGCTACAGTAAAAACCTGTTAACTGGTTAACAGTAAGTTTCCATAATATATTCGGTGAATACATGTAATTACATTTAATGTAATTTTACAGTAAAATACTGTTAAAAATACGGTTTTTGGAAGTGAAAAAGAAAAAGTAATTGTATAATTTACAGTGAAAAACCGTAAATTGACACTTCATAGTTGTTGTTTTTTTGTTGAAATAACATGTTTCTTCTTAGTTTTTTCTTACCAGTTGTGTACATTAGGGTTTAATCTTACATCTAATGTTGTTAAATTAATGTTTATTGCATTATTTCAGCATCATGTGTGTCACCATGATGGGGTTTAGTGTTAGTGTGAATGACACTGTGCACCTTCTATATGTAAGTATTGTCCTCCTCAGCTCGTAGAAAAGCTGTTTATGATGAGCTTTGGTTCATCGTGTGACTTTCTCATCACCACCCGTTTTTGGTGGTTATCAGTGCATTACAATGGTTCAAAACAGATATTACTTCAATATGTTGGTTTATTAACATTACATCAGTTAATGAAATACGGTATTTTATTGTGAATTTAAGTCAAGTCTGTAAAACCTAAAATGTTGCTACCATATTTTTTACGGTGAAGTTCTGGCAACCACAGCTGCCGATATTTTACCGTAAATGTCACAGATTTTTTTTACAGTGTACCCAGCACTGCAGTATGTATTCATGTTATAGACTTTTTAAAGACAGAAAAATAGTCACACGTTTCATTTGAGTGTTTAAGTCCATGTATGGAAGTGAGCCAGAACAATTTGTTCTCTTAAATTATTCATTCTTTAAAAATAATGGATTCACTTATTCCTATCAAGAGCATTACTGGACAGAGCGTGTGACCTTGCAAACAAGATAAGTTAATATTTTTTGTCCATTACCCTGGAATTGAAAGATCAAGCATTTTAAATGTGTAAATTAACTATCAACTTTAAGGAGTACACAAGCATACGTGCCTCAAACTGCTCCTCAGGGCTTACAGACATGGACTAAAAGCCACAGAAAAGCCACAATTTTGAAAATGGACGCTGTAATGGAAAGTGACCATTTCGGTCCTGAAAGAAACCATTTTTCTCTTTTATATTTCACCACCAACACAGCATTTAGCATTCACAGTTCGCCCTGCTGTAATGAAGTGAATACAGCCT